ATTTCCTTAAGTGGCTTCCCCAGCCGAGTATAGTCTCCCTTCATACGTTCCAGTGAGAATCGAGCCATGTAATTTGTTCCTACATGAAGGATAATTAGGGGATTCTCTCCCGCTCCCTTTAGAATCCTTTTCAACCTCAGGTCTACATCCCGTATCTTAGCACCTGGAAGACAGCACACCCTTCTATTCTCTGGATCAGCTCTGGTTACAGGCCTGTCTATTCCTCTCAGTAAAGAGTCTCCGATCCCATAGACCTGCGTTTTCCTGGTGACGGTGCTATTCTCCAGTCTATTCCCTGTTCCCTCTGGCTGCAAGTTCCTTCCATTCCTATTCTCCCTTGTAATCCTCTTCAACCCATCCTGTAATCTCCTGGGGCTCTCATTTGGTGTAGTCTCCATTGACTCTTCCCCTTTTCCTATCGGACTAGCCGCTCTTCTCTTCTTCCTTGTCCTTCCACCTTCAGTGACTGCCTGCTGAGCCCCTTCTTCATTTTCCAGCTCTGCAAACGTGTTCTTAAGCTCTATTTCTCCTTCACTAGCCTGTCTTCTCCTCTGCCTGGTTCTTTTAGTCACATGCTTCCACTGACCACTTTCCTCACCCAGTCTCCCCTCAGAATTCCTCAGTCCTGCTTCCATCTGCAAGTCTGAGCTTTTCCCTTCAGATACCTCATGTCTTTGCTCCATAAGCTGCTCGAACCACTTTCTAAACTCAACCAGTCTTTCCACCTGCATCTCCAAACCTCAGATCTTTTCCCCATCAGCTGAATCAGACAGCATTTCGTGCACACAAAACTCTTACCTGGTACCCCCTCCAGGATCGTGTACATACCGCAGCTTCCACATCCAGTCATCTTCATTGTGTCTTCCACTACATTGGTCACTCCCACTGTTGCCTCCTTATCTGTCATAGCCTTCCCACCTAAATCCTGTTAATCCTGGGAAACACAAACCACACCAAAACACCACCACCCACAGGAAAAACAAACCCCAAACAAGCACCACAATACAAACTCCCACTGAAACTCCCCTGTTTACAGCTCTGCTCACTAGCTCCTGTCCCGCTACAGCTGTCTGTGAGGAGACATTAAAAAGACTGGGACTGTTCTGCTTAGAATAGAGATGACTAGTGGGCAATATGATAGAGGTCTATAAAATCATGAATGGTGTGGAGAAAGTGAATCGGGAAGTATTGTTTATTCCTTCACATAATATAAGAACTAGGGGTCACCTGATGAAATTAGTAGGCAGAAGGTTTAAAACAAACTAAAGGAAGTACTTCTTCACACAACATACAGTCAACCTGTGGAGCTCATTACCATGGGATATTGTGAAGGCCAAAAGTATAACTGGGTTCAAAAAAGAATTAGGTAAGTTCATGGAGGATAGATCCATCAGTGGCTATTAGCCAAAACGATCAGGACTGCAAAGCCATTTTCCAGGTGTCCTGAAACCTCTGACTGCCAGAAGCTGGATGACAGGGGGTGAATCACTTTCTAATTGCCCTGTTCTGTTTGCTCCCTCTGAAGCGGCTAGATCAGTGGTTCTCAACCAGTGGCTCAATTAGCCCACAGCTGTGGCCCAGCTCAGCTGTGTGCTAAAGGTCGACTGGTTCCTGGCTAACTGGCCCGATGGAGTCCATGTGGCGAGGGTCTGGAGTCAAGGCTGGCCAGTCCCGCAAACTCCCGGGCAGCTGCCTGGTCTCGAGCAGTAGGGGTCTGGGGCTCCCGGCCAGCCCCGCTGGGTTGGGGGTGCAGTGGGAACTCGGTTGGGGGGGATGTGGGCAATGATTATTGTTTAGAAAATTGGTGACAATAAACACTTCTTGTGTTGAAAGGTTATTTGCCAAACTTCAGCTTGGAGTGAAGTCTTCTATTAAATTGACAAATCAAGTGTAACCATGTAAGTATCTCAAGAATGGCTGTTCTCTTTTAGACCAGATATTACATTGCATCCATTGATCAGTGCATTTAATATATTATTGCTTTATCTATAATTTTCATGATATTCATAGTCAATCTCCTTTTCCAATGACAAGTTTGCATAGGGTTGAAGCTATGAGCAGATTCCATCCACATCTGTTTTGAGCGAATATTTGAGCCTGTTAGGGTGTTTGTCTGGATGGTTTCTCTTTGGACATCCAAGGTCTCTCTCTCCATGCACTCTTCCATAGAGAACAATTTTAGGCAGTTGGCTTGGAGTCATTTTAGCAACATGGCTAAACCGGATTGGTTGGTGTCTTTTGATGACTGTAGTCACGTGCTGCACTTTTTCTACTGATGTACTTGTCAAAGTCATCTTCATAGTGGCTCTTATGTTACGATGTACCCAAGTAACAGAAACAGTCTATATGTTCAATGTCTAAACCAGTGGTTCTCAAACTTTGGGTCGGGACCCCAGAGTGGGTCAGGACCCCATTTTAATGGGGTCACTAGGGCTGGCTTAGTCTTCCTGGGGCCCAGGGCCAAAGCCCAAGCCTGAGGGCTTCAGTCCTGAGTGGCAGAGCTCACGTTACAGGTCCCCTGCCTGGGGAGGTGGGGCCTGTGGCTCTTCCCCCTCCCCCGGGGTGGCAGGGCTTGCGTGGGCTCAGGCTTTGGTCCCCCCTCCTAGGGTTCTGTCGCAATTTTTGTTGTCAGAAGGGGACCGCGGTGCAATGAAGTATGAGAAGCCCTGGTCCAAATCGTTATTGAAAAGTTTAGCCCGTTTCAAGGTGAGTTTTTTTTTTTTTAACATGTTCCCTTGAGTTGGTCTTTTGTTCATTTATTTCTACTCCCCATTTTCTGGCTGTTGTGTACAGGTTAGTTGCTGCTTCTTTGTTGTATTCCTTCATAAAATTATCATTATGATATGGTTTGCAAAGTCAAAGTGATAGATAATTTGCCCTGATGTCCTGCAGCCTCCACCAGTTTTACTAAGGGAGTTGGACAAGATGTTTTCTAAGTGTATATATAGAGAAAAAAGTATTGGACTGAGTATGGACTATTTGAGATCGTTTTTCACTACAAACCACTCTTCCAGCTCACTGCTGACTCACGCTGCATGCCAAGCTATGCTGTCCAGTCTCTGCAGAATTTGAATCAACTTGCTGCTAAAATCATATCACTTGGGTCTTTCCACAAAGCCTCCTTGCTAACAGAGTTGAATGCTTTCTTAAAGTCTACAAATGTGCAAAATGGGTTTGTTGAACTCTGTCTCTCTCTAAGATTTGACTAAAAACAAATCTCTGATCTATGGTAAGATTTCCTCGGCTCTCTTTCATTTGGCTCAGAATCACTCTGCAGAACACCTTGCTACAAATGCTTATAAGACTTATTCCTATGTAATTATCGCAGTCTGTGAGATCATTGCTCTAAAAGAGAGGTACAATAATTGAGTATTGCCAGTCTTCAGGGACTTCACTCTTCCAAATGAGGTTAGTTTGCAAAGGAGCATGACAAAGTCTCTTCTGCTGTGTTCTAACACTTCATGTGTTATACCATCTGAACCAACTGCCTTGTTTCTCAGGGACCTGACTGTGGATTCAATTTCTGCTTGCAATACCTGTCCTTCTTTGTTGTTGCCTTTGCAGCTGATAGTCTCAAGGTTAGCTGGGTCATCTTGACTATTCAAGTTCAATAGTCAGTGAAAATGTTCTTTTCACGTTTTAAGCTTTGGATCTTTATCTACTATATAGCTCACCTGAGCATTGCCTAGTTGACTGGTGAAGGGGCACACCCTCACTCTGGTGGGCTTGTTCAGCACTAATGAGGTGCACCTGTAAGACTTGTCCTGCCTGGAGTCGGGGGAGCTTAAAAAGGGAAAACCTTTTTCCACTTCCACTGGAAGGGGTGGTGAATAAGAGGAGGGAAAGCTCTGCCACAGAGAGTGCTGCAACAGAGACAGGTCAGCTGAGAGGGAGACAGTTGCAGGCCTCACCGCTGCATGGAGTAGCTGCAAAGAAGTAGACGCCACTAAAGCTATGTCTACACTATGAAATTAGGTCGAATTTATAGAAGTCGGTTTCGTAGAAAGCATTTTTATACAGTCGATTGTGTGTGTCCCCACACAAATGCTCTAAGTGCATTTAGTCGGCATTTAGTCGGTGGAGTGCGTCCACAGTACCGAGGCAACCATCGACTTCCGGAGCATTGCACTGTGGGTAGCTATCCCACAGTTCCCGCAGTCTTCACCGCCCATTTGAATTCTGGGTAGAAATCTCAGTGCCTGATGGGGCAAAAACATTGTCGCGAGTGGTTCTGGGTACATATCGTCAGACACCCCCTTCCCTCCCTCCCTCCCTCCTGCCGTGAAAGCAACAGCAGACAATTGTTTTGCGCCTTTTTTCCTGGGTTACCCGTGCAGACGCCATACCACGGCAAGCATGGAGCCCACTCAGCTCACTGTCACCGTATGTCTCCTGGGTGCTGGCAGATGCGGTACTGCATTGCTACACAGCAGCAGCTCATTGCCTTTTGGCAGCAGACAGTGCAGTATGACTGGTAGCCATCGTCGCTGTACTCCAGGGTGCTCTTTTAGCCGACCTCGGTGAGGTTGGTCAGGGGTGCCTGGGCAAACATGGGAGTGACTCAGCCAGGTCATTTCCCTTTTAAGTTTCGTCTCATGGTGATTCAGTCCTGCCAGCAGTCCTACTGCACCATCTTCTAATGACCAGCCAGGAGACAATGATGGCCAGCAGTCATACTGCACCATCTTCTGCCGAGCACCCAGGTGTGGCGGTTCAGTGATGAGACAGAACACAGCTTTATGCAAGCAAGCAGGCTGGTCAGCGGAGATGGGCTGTTCTGCCCCCCCCGCCTTCTACCTTCTCCTTTTATTATATTTCTCCCCCTAAGCATTACACACTGCTACCCAAAGGAATGTATGACGTTGATTAATATACTTAGTTACCATCCTTTATCTACTACAATCCTGGTTCTCAGGCCTTGAGCCCAGGCTAAGAAAGCCTCCCACAGTTGCTGTCCAAACAATCAAGTTCTCATGGTTCATATCTAGCCCTTGTCGTTGGATTGAGCAATGTGTGCATTGCTTCTACAAAACAGTCAGGGTGTGCCCTGCCTGCTTCCAGGTGGAATAGCTAAACATGACCTCTTCATCTCCCCGTTTTTTATTTAATGATATTTGGCCATCTCATGGTAGCCGTCAATTTGTTTTGTCATGCTATTTAACTCCCAGACAGACAAGGACATAACCTGGGGAGCTTTCCAGGGCAAAATTTTACAAAGTCTTAACAAGGAAGGAATACATTGTACACAGCAGCAGCAAAAAAAAAAAGCCCAATGATTACAAACACAGAATAACCACAAAGCTCAACATCTGCAATATAATCATCTAAAAAGGGTACACTTCTTTTACTACAATTGTGACCAGCAAAAGGCAATATAAGTATCATTCTACTAAGACAGCAAAGGGTGCCATCACTTAAATTTGCAGGAATATAATTAAAGGTGCGTGAACCGCAAGTAAAAAACCATCCTGATGGTAGGATGATATGGCCATAATTATATGAAACATTAACAGCATGGGAACAATTTAAAAGGGGTTGAGAAATTTTTCGACAGCCCAAGGGCACCTTTGTACTAGTGCAGTTAACTACACGTGCACAGGTGACATTGTGAGCCCCGGCCGGGTACGGTGTGTGGAGGGATATAGCCGTGCGAGGCAGAGTATAGTTGGTCGGGCCCCAATTAGCCATGCTAGAGTACTGGGAGGAAAGATTAGCATAAGCAGAGAACAGTGTCTTATTCTCCATCTCCTCAGGGTGATGACATACTGGAATAAGGCATGTACCTAACAAATCTCCGGCTGCTACAGAATTAGATAAACAAAAGTGGGTAACATTTGCTATTGAAGCCAATCTTTCCCATATGTTATATGTCATTCAGGCTTGTAACGGGGGAGGCGCTTCCGAGCCAACCCCTACAGGAAATAGCAGGCACAAAAGGCACACAATCATCACAGAATTAGCAGTGATTTGGGCGAGAATCGCCACAAACAAAGTCTCAGGAGTCTCTGGCTGTTGATCTGCTGCCAGTCTTTGTTGAGCTGCGGCGACCAATGCTTTTACTGCTCCCCATGTCACGGGCTGGCTTGGGACACTACGCCTCCTCCGTTTCTGTCCCGTCGTTGTCGACTCGGGGGGCAACGCGGTCTCCTCCAAGGTCAGCTGAAACTCTGGTATGGGATTCGACAGTCCCTGGTGCCATGCCATGTTGTTTAAGTGCCGGTCGCACACACCGAGCTGGAACCCACAACGGTCCTGCAGGGAGAGACACAGCAGCATATCCCCGACCCCAAGTGATTAGAGGTACTGGGCCCAGCCACTGTGGATTGGGCAGCTGACGGTAAAAGACACGCGGTCTTTCCAGTACCTCAGATTTGTAAAAATGCCGATCCGCAGGGGTCTGCTGATCTGCATTCAGTGTTAAATTATTTAAAGTAAACAAGAGGATATGCATTTGTTGTTGAATGTCTCCTAAGGTTTGGAGACGCAGCTCCCCTTGTTTTAATTGTTTATCTAGCAAGGTTGTGAGTGTGCGATTGGCACGTTCAACAATGGCTTGGCCCGTGGAATTATAAGGAATTCCGTGTTTAAGACAGATGTCCCAGCGGGCACAAAAGGTGGAGAGGGCTGCAGAGCAGTAGGCTGGGGCATTATCTGTTTTAATTTGGCAGGGGCGACCCATAACAGAAAAGCAGGCCAGCAAATGGTGAATAACTGTGTTAGTGGCTTCCCCACGTTGTGGGGTTGCCCAAAGAAAGCCTGAATAAGTATCAACGGAAACATGTAAAAACAAATAGGGGCGGAATTGTGGCACATGAGTAACATCCATCTGCCACAGCTGATTTGCTGCGGTACCTCGGGGGTTAATGGCATAAGAAAAAGTAGGAGCAGCAGCAGCACAGTGGGGGCAGGAACAAACAATGGAACGTGCATAATCAGCAAGAATGTGAAACTGCCGGGCCAAAACAGAGGCAGACTGCTGAAAAAAGGCATGGCTTTCAATGGGGTCAGAAAAAAGGGAATTTACCTGACCACGCAACGCACGAGATCGGCGCGTGCATTGCCCTCAGTGAGTGGCCCAGGCAGAGAGGTATGACTGCGAATATGAGCAACAAAGTAAGGGAAATGACAAGTGGCAAAAAGGTGCTGCAAAAACAAAAACAGGCGAAGGAGGTCTGCATCAACCTGAGGGGTAATGAGGGCAAGGGGTAAATGATCAATTACCTGATAAACATAATGGGTATCCACAATTAAATTAAAGGGACAATCAGCAAAAAATTGAAAGGCCAAAATAACAGCAGCTAATTCTGAGGGCAAAGGGGGATGGTAAAAAAACAATCTTTTAAATCTAACACACAAAGTTAATCGGTTTGAGGAATTAAATTTGGATTTGGCAAGCCAAATTGCAAGGGGCCCATAGGTTGGATGCGTTTATTTATTTCCCTTAAATCATGTAACAGCCGCCAAGCACCCGATTTTTTCTTAATAACAAACACCGGGGTGTTCCAGGGACTAGTGGAGCTCTCCAGTCGCTGTGCTTTCAAATGCTGTTGCACAAGCGAATGAAGTGCTTTTAGCTTTTCTAGAGGGAGGGGCCACTGGTCAATCCATACGGGCTTTAAGAATTGCCATACCAAGGGTAAGGCGGAGGGCACGGTGGGTGAGGGAGGGTTTTGGGCCATCAGATGTTAATATCGAGGGTGGTGTCTAACTTTGTAAGTAAATCACGGCCCCAAATATTGAGGTGGACAGGGAGCACAAAAGGGCGGATAGTAGCAAGGGTACGGCCTCCCGGTTTAGAGACCGTGACCCAAGACAAACTTTGGCACCCGGGTTTACTACCCCTGATCCCCCACAATTCTCTAGAAGGAACCGTAGGCCAACTAACCGGCCACTCCAGATCACGAATCACCGTAACGTCAGCTCCAGTGTCCACCAGCCCTGTAAAAGGAACATCATCTAAGAGAAGTGTTAACTGAGGTTTCGAGGGGCGGACTGACATTGTCAGAGCAACAAGTGGAGAAGACGCGCTGTGAGACGGCGAGTGAGACAACGTCGATCCAAAGCCGCCTCCGCCCCGAGTTCGATCCTCGGCAGCTGGCACCTGATAGGGGACTAAAATCAATTGTGCAATTGACCGTCCACGTGGGAGCGACTGTGGAAGATGAGTCCACACCTGAACCTTAATAATGCCAGTGTAATCGGCATCAATGACCCCTGGAATGACAAAAAAGCCCTGTTTCCCAGCATGTGAGCGAGGGAGAACAAGACCTACAAAGCCGGCAGGGAGAGGTCCCGTCACCTGTGTAGGTATGGCACAGACCTCCCCTGGCAGCCGAAAGTCAGTGTCCTCCTGCATGATCAAATCAAGCCCTGCACTTCCAGCAGTCGCCGCCCTCATAGAGTCTACGGATTCCAAGGCAGAGGAGCGGTTGTCTGAGTAGGAAACACCCCCGTTTGGCCCTGGGTTCGGGGGGGACCCGTCGCGCGGTTTCCCGACCCGCTACGACACTGATTAGCCCAGTGATAACCTTTCCCACACTTGGGGCACTTCTTTGAGGGTCGGGCTGGTGCCTTAGATGAGCGGCACTTCCGCTGAAAATGACCCTCCTTACCACAGCAGTAACAACGCTTCCCCTCATTCCCAGTTTTTCTGAGGGCGGCAGCCAGAACTCCAATGTTCTGGCACGCCCGCAGCATGTCTGAGAGCTCTAAAATACCAGAGGCTTGTGCTGCCTGGAGAGCACGGCGGCAATCCTCATTTGCATTTTCAACTGCCAATTTTAACAGGAGCTCGTGAGCTGCCTCAGTGTTATCCACCTGTCGGAGGATAGCCTCATGCAATCTGTTGGTAAAATCCAAAAAGGACTCTGAGGCACCCTGACGGATACTGACAAAGCTTTTGGTAGGCTTGCCTGAATCCAGGACCTTCTTGAAAGCATGCTGGGCACAGGTGGAAATAATGGGGAAGACGGCCTGAGGGAGTTGAGACTGCATCTCAATAGTAGCAAACGGGCCCTCCCCTGCCAAATGCTCATAAATGATACCGTGCTCTCTATGTACCTGAGCTTGGCGTTCTGCCATCTGCCGATACTCACTAAGCCAAATAACATACTGACTGGGTGACAACTTCATGCGCAGCAGCGTTTTCCAATCCTCAGGGATTAGGGAGTACCCAGTACCCATCCCTTCAATGAGACCACGCACAAAGGTGCTAGTCAGGCCAAATTCACGAATTGCTTTCTTTACCTCTCTAACCACCGAGTATGGCAAAGTTGTCCAGGTGCCCACGGGGTTGCCCTGGTCATCATTCTGCCAGGTCACCGGGCAAACGGAGACCAGATCAGCCAGCTCCTCCGCTGTAAGATCTGATCGAGCTTTCGCTGCGTGAACCATTTGTTGCACCAGCGAAAGCTTCTGAGCAGATGCAGATGACCCTCCGGGGGACCCCACGGGGGGAGGGTGATCACACACCGGCTCCAGTGGGGAAGGCCAGGGAGGCGGTGGTAACAGAGGCACTGGGGGCGAAGCAGGGGGAGGGATGGCTGCAGGAGCAGATGGGGGTGGCGGGATCGGCAGCCCCTCTGTTGGTGCTGGAGAGGGCCTTTCCGAGGCGACACGCTGTGTCGCATCGCCAGGAGGGGGGATGGCTGCAGGAGCGGACGGGCGTGGCGAGATCACCAGCCTCGCGAGGGAGGGCCTGTCGGAGGCGACACGCTGTATCGCGTCGCAGCAGAGGTGCCAGGCATGTAAAGCCTGCACGGGCGCCCGAGGCTCTTCGTGCAATGTCTGGCCCAATTGCTCCCAGTCCGCTAGCTTAAGGCTTCCGGCTTCAGGGTACCACGGGCACTGGGCACTCACCTCCTGTAGCAGGAGAGTGAGTTCTCGAGTGGGGCAGTCATGCTGAGCCTTACGCAGCAAATATTGTAGCTCATTGAGGTGTTGCACTTGCAAAGCAGAGAGGGAGCTTCCCATACTTACCACAATGAAAAATACTCACCGGGATCCACGAAGCGGATGAGTGACGCGTCTGAAACCCTTGCCGGGCGAGGTGAGTGCTGAGGGCCCCACGTTTGGGCGCCAGTTGTGGCGGTTCAGTGATGAGACAGAACACAGCTTTATGCAAGCAAGCAGGCTGGTCAGCGGAGATGGGCTGTTCTGCCCCCCCCGCCTTCCACCTTCTCCTTTTATTATATTTCTCCCCCTAAGCATTACACACTGCTACCCAAAGGAATGTATGACGTTGATTAATATACTTAGTTACCATCCTTTATCTACTACAATCCTGGTTCTCAGGCCTTGAGCCCAGGCTAAGAAAGCCTCCCACAGTTGCTGTCCAAACAATCAAGTTCTCATGGTTCATATCTAGCCCTTGTCCTTGGATTGAGCAATGTGTGCATTGCTTCTACAAAACAGTCAGGGTGTGCCCTGCCTGCTTCCAGGTGGAATAGCTAAACATGACCTCTTCACCCAGGAGATGACGATGGCCAGCAGTCCTACTGCACCGTCTGCTGCCAGCAAGATGTATAAAGATAGATGAAGTGGATCAAAACAAGAAATAGACCAGATTTGTTTTGTATTCATTTTCTCCTCCCTTTTTCCCTCCATGAAATCAATGGCCTGCCAAACCCAGGGTTTTGAGTTCTATTCTTGAGGGGGCCATTTCGTTTCTCCTTGATGCAAAGCCACCTCCTTTGCTGATTTTAATTCCCTGTAAGCCAACCCTGTAAGCCATGTTGTCAGTTGCCCCTCCCTCCATCAGAGCAATGGCAGACAATCGTTTCGTGCCTTTTTTCAGCGCAGATGCCGTAGCACTGGGAACGTGGAGCCCACTCAGATTACCATGGCAATTATGAGCACTATAAACACCGTGCGCGTTATCCAGCAGGATATAGAGAACCATAACCTGCAAGAAAAGCAAAACCAGGCGAGGAGGCGGCGACTGCAGCACAGTGATGAGAGTAATGAGGACATGGACATAGACTTCTCACAAAGTACGGGCCCCTGCACTGTGCACATCATAGTGTCAGTTGGGCAGGTTCATGGTGTGGAACGCCGATTCTAGGCTGGGAAACAAGCACAGAGTGACAGGTTTTAGAGTAGCAGCCATGTTCGTCTGTATTCACAAAAAGAAAAGGAGTACTCGTGGCACCTTAGAGACTAACAAATTTATTTGAGCATAAGCTTTCGTGAGCTCACTTCATCGGATGCATTCAGTGAAGTTAGCTCACGAAAGCTTATGCTCAAATAAATTTGTTAGTCTCTAAAGCACAGAGTGGTGGGACCGCATAGTGTTGCACGATTCCCAGTGGCTGCAAAACTTTCGCATGTGTAAGGGCACTTTCATGGAACTTTGTGACTTGCTTTCCCCTGCCCTGAAGTGCAAGAATACCAAGATAAGAGCAGCCCTCACAGTTGAGAAGCGAGTGACGATAGCTCTGTGGAAGCCTGCAGCGCCAGACAGCTACCGATCAGTCAGGAATCAATTTGGAGTGACCAAATCTACTGTGGGGGCTGCTGTGATGCAAGTAGCCAACGCTATCACTGAGCTGCTGATATCAAGGGTAGTGACTCTGGGAAATGTGCAGGTTATAGTGGATGGCTTTGCTGCCATGGGATTCCCTAACTGTGGTGCGGCGATAGACAAAACCCATATCCCTATCTTGGCACTGGAGCACCAGGGCAGCGAGTACATAAACCGCAAGGGGTACTTTTCAGTGGTGCTGCAAGCTCTGGTGGATCACAAGGGATGTTTCACCAATATCAACGTGGATGGCTGGGAAAGGTACATGATGCTCATATCTTCTGGAACGCTGGTCTGTTTCAACAGCTGCAGTAAGAGACTTACTTTCCAGACCAGAAAATAACCGTTGGGGATGTTGAAATGCCTATAGTTATCCTTGGGGACCCAGCCTACCCCTTAATGCCATGGCTCATGAAGCCATACACAGGCATCCTGGACAGTAGTCAGGAGCTGTTCAACTTTAGGCTGAGCAAGTGCAGAATGGTGGTAGAATGTGCATTTGGGTGTTCAAAAGCGCGCTGGTGCAGTTTACTGACTCAGTTAGACCTCAGCAAAACCAATATTCCCATTGTTATTACTGTTTGCTGTGCACTCCACAATCTCTGTGAGAGTAAGGGGGAGATGTTTATGGCAGGGTGGGAGGTTGAGGCAAATCGCTTGGCCGCTGATTATGCACAGCCAGACACCAGGGTGGTTAGAAGAGTACAGGAGGGGCGCGGTGCGCATCAGAGAAGCTTTGAAAACCAGTTCCAGGAATGGCCAGGCAATGGTGTGAAAGTTCTGTTTGTTTCTCCTTGATGGAAACCCCTCCCCTCCCCCCCCCCGGTTTCACTCTACTTTCCTGTAAGCTAAGCACCCTCCCCTCCCCCCTTCGATCACTGCTTGCAGAGGCAATAAAGTCATTGTTGCTTCACATTCATGCATTCTTTATTCATTCATTCATTCATCACACAAATAGGGGGATAACTGCCAAGGTAGCTCGGGAGGGGTGGTGGAGGAGGGAAGCACCGGGTGGGGTGGTGGAGGAGGGAAGGAGAAGGCCACATAGCACTTCAAAACTTTAAAACTTATTGAATGCCAGCCTTCTGTTGCTTGGGCAATCCTCTGGGGTGGAGTGGCTGGGTGGCTGGAGGCCCCCCCACCCCATTCTTGGGCATCTGGGTGAGGAGGCTATGGAACTTGGGTTCGAGGGCGGTTGGTTACACAGGGGCTGTAGCGGTGGTCGGTGCTCCTGCTGCCTTTCCTGCAGCTGAGCCATACGCTGGAGTATATGAGTTTGATCCTCCAGCAGCCTGAGCATTGACTCCTGCCTTCTTTCAGCAAGCTGATGCCACCTACCATCTTCAGCTCGCCACCTCTCTTCGCGGTCATATTGTGTTTTCCTGCACTCTGAGATTGTCTGCCTCCACATATTTTGCTGGGCTCTGTCAGTGTGGGAAGACAGCATGAGATCAGAGAACATTTCATCACGAGTGCGTTTTTTTCGCCTTCTAATCTTCGCTAGCCTCTGGGAAGGAGAAACATATGCAGCTGGTGGAGGGGAAAAAAAAGGGAGAGTGGTAGTTTAAAAAGACAGATTTTATAGAACAATGGGTACACTCTTTCTCGGTAAACCTTGCTGTTAACATTACATCGCACATGTGCTTTCATTACAAGGTCGCATTTTGCCTCTTATTGAGGGTATGCCGATTTGGTGTGAGAGATCACTCATGCAGGGCTGGGAAGCAGAATTCGGCTTGCAGGCAGCCATGGTAAGCCCCAGTCTTTTGGCTGTTTTTAACCTTCATAACATGTGGGAATGGTTTCAAACAGCAGCGCCCTCATTTCTCATATGAAGTAGCCGTTGGGTTGGCCATTAAAAATGGGTTGGCAATTTAAAAGGAGGGGCTGTGGTTTCCGGGTTCACGTGCAGCAGAAACCCAACTTAACACCCTCCCCGCTACACACACACAATTCTCTGGGATTATGGCTTCGCCCCTCCCCGCACCACGTGGCTAACAGCGGGGAAGATTTCTGGTCAGCCACAGGCAAACAGCTAAGCAGGAATGGGCACCTTTGAATGTCCGCTTACTAAAACCACCCTATTTCAACCAGGTGACCATGAATGATATCCCTCTCCTGAGGGTAACACAGAGAGATAAAGAACGGATGTTGTTTGAATGCCAGCAAACACCGGGACCATACGCTGCAATGCTTTGTTCCGCAATGATTCCCGACTATGTGCTACTGGCCTGGCGTGGTAAAGCATCCTACCATGGAGGACGGAATAAGGCTGCCCTCCCCAGAAACCTTTTGCACAGGCTTTGGGAGTACATCCAGGAGAGCTTTATGGAGATGTCCCTGGAGGATTTCCGCTCCATCCCCAGACACATTAACAGGCTTTTCCAGTAGCTGTACTGGCCGCGAATGAAAGGGCAAATTAATCATTAAACACACTTGCTTTTAAATCATGTATAATATTTACAAAGGTACACTCACCAGCAGTCCCTTCTCTGCTTTCAGGGTCTGGGAGCCCACCTTGGGTGGGTTCGGGGGGTACTGGCTCCAGGTCCAGGGCGAGAAACAGATCCTGGCTGTTGGGGAAACTGGTTTCTCCGTTTCCTTGCTGTGAGCTATCTACAACCTCCTCCTCCTCATCTTCCTCACCCCCAAAACCCACTTATGTGTTGCCTCCCACTCCTTGGATGGAGTCAAAGCACAGGGTTGGGGTAGTGGTGGCTGCACCCCCTAGAATGGCATGCAGTTCATCATAGAAGCGGCATGTCTGGGGCTCTGAACTGGAGTGGACGATTGCCTCTGTTTTTTTGGTAGGCTTGCCTGAGCTCCTTAATTTTCACTCGGCACTGCTGCATGTCCCTGTTATAGCCTCTGTCCTTCATGCCATTGGAGATTTTTTTAAATATTTTGGCATTTTGTCTTTCTGAATGGAGTTCTGCCAGCACGGATTCATCTCCCCATACAGCGATCAGATCCTGTACCTCCCGTAAGGTCCATGCTGGAGCTCTTCAGCGATTCTGGGACTGCATGGTCTCCTGTGGTGATGAGCTCTGCATGGTGACCTGTGCAGGTGAGCTCGCCACGCTGGCCAAACAGGAAATGAGATTCAAAAGTTCGCGGTCCTTTTCCTGTATACCTGGCCAGTGTATCTGAGTTGAGAGCGCTGTCCAGAGCGGTCACAACTGAGCACTCTAGGGTAGCTCCCGGAGGCCAATACCATCGAATTGCGTCCACAGTACCCCAAATTCTACCCGGCAAGGCTGATTTCAGCGCTAATCCCCTCATCGGGGGTAGAGTAAAGAAATCGATTTTAAGAGCCCTTTAAGTCGAAAAAAAGGGCTTCGTCGTGTGGACAGGTGCAGGGTTAAATCAAGATAACGCTGCTAAATACAACCTAAACTTGTAGTGTAGACCAGGCCTAAGGGACAAAAGAACCTGATAAACCAATCTCCAAGAGCTGAATCCAGAAAGACTGCCTGAGAGACAGGCCACCTTTGTCTTTCTTTGTTTTCACTCAGATTCCCCTCTCTCATGAGAGAGAGAGAGAGGGGGGAGAGGATCTTTGTTTTGTCTGTTTTATTTAGAGAACACCTCATGTGCTATGAACTGGAGGGAAGAACTGTGTAAACAACTTGCAGCGGGGTCTGCGGGGGGCAGAAGTGAACCCCTACCCGCCCACCTCTTCTACAGGTGTTAACTTCTTGGGTAGTAATCGGACTTCCTGAAAAAGCCCTCTTGCATTACCTTTTTTGCAAGTGTTGTCCAAGCTCTTTGCCTTCTCTCGAGCAGTCTTTCTTAGCCTTTTTAACCATTCTTTTTGGATTGTTGGTGAGTGGTCTGTATCTGGTTTTCTGCTCAATGCAATCAATATTCAGCTTTC